TTGAACATAGTATAAACTTAACGAATATTTACTGAATGGATGAATACTGAGAGCTGTTGTTTGTACAAAGGCATATAATTTGTTTTTATTTTTTAGGCAATTGGGGTTAAGTGACTTGCCCAAGGTCACACAGCTAGTTAGTGTCGTGTGTTTGGTCTAAGGCTGGATTTGAACTCAGGTCCTCCTGACTCCAGGGCCAGTGCTCTATCCACTGTGCCACCTAGTTGCCCCTGTACAAAGGTATATATGTGGAAAGAGAAATAGCCTTGTTTACCATACACAATTCATAATTACATCCAGTCAACAAAATAGCCACATGTGCACTTGTTCTTATCTGAAGCTAATATTATTACTCTAATATAACAATAGTAAGCTTATTATTACTCCAGTATCTGGAATTCTCAGAAGGGCCTATTAATGTTGGAGGTTACATGGTATCTTTACTTTGATAGGATCCTTAGAATATAGGATATTAGGACACAGAATGGTAGAGCTGGAAGTGCCCTTAGAATACAGAATTTGGGAGCTAGAAGGATCCTTTAAACCAGAGGTGTCAGCCATAGCAGCAACACTCCTGCTACCCCGAATCAGACTAAAATGTAATTGGAAAATATTTAACAAAATAAATAAAAATACGATAAAATCTAGATAACATTGCATTTTAAAATTAAATTAATATGGAGCACGTGAGACCCTTTTGTTCACATTAGTGAACCCCAGTTTCTACTTGAGTTTGACACCACTGCTTTAAAGCATAGAATTAAGTGACTAGAATTTTATGCTCTAAAGCATAGAATGTCAGAGCAGGAAGGGACTTCAGAGATCAATTAGTACAATTCTCTCCTTTTATAAATAAAGGGGGAACAGGCTTGCCCAAGGTCACATAGCTAGTTCATTGCAATTCTGGAACTAGAATCCAGGTGGTCTGAGTCCCAGCTTTGTGTTCTTTCCACCAAGACCACAATAGCAGGCTGAAGACTGAGCAGGAGTAGGACATTCCGGTATTTATATTTCATGGTGCATCCTCTCTCCTTTCTTCTTCCCATTCCACTCCCACCCCCAAAACAAAAATCAATATTAAAGGAAGTAGAAATGTTTGAATTCTCTATTTAACATTAGTAACATTTGCATTAATAATCAATTGCCCTGGTATTTACCATTAGTCTGTGGTTCAAAGATTAAGAGACACTCCAATCCAAAGATGAGTTTGTGGAAAACCCAGAGTGAGCCAATACTGGAACTGAGGGATGTGTGCTGCACTCTGAGAAGCTCTAGAGGCTTCCCTGATAGCTCAGGTCAAAAATCCAACTTTAGCCTGACTTTAAGGGCCTACCTAGAAATGGACAACTAGCTTTCTTGATCTTGCTGAAAAGCAAAGCTTTCCTCTGCCTCTGCATCTGAGCGAGCAAGACTTGTTAGACTTGTCCAGATCTCATAGAAACCATGGCCCTCCAGATCAGCAGGTGATTTTAAACAACCCTTCTCTCTGAGCTAAATGAGATAATATTTGTAAAGTGTTTAGCACCATATCTGGCAATAGTAGGTGCTTAATAAATGTTTATTTCTTTCCTTCCTTCCTGGGCATCCAAACCTCCTGGGACAGTCCTCCCCTTTCCACCAAAGCTGCAGGGGCTGAAACCTGAGCAGGTAGATGGGACTGTGGGCAGAAGAAATCTTTGCTGTTCCCCTCCGCACCTGTCTTACCCCACAATCCCGGTCTCACTTCTTGTCCTTTCTAGGTATGTCAGATAGAGGAAGGGAGCCAAGTAGCAGGGGATGAGCAGCATGGAGAGTGGACAGTTCACACATGTTCCAAGGCCTCTAGGCTTGCCAGGAAAAGCAGAGAAAGAGGGTAGAAGTGATCTCGTGCCTGCACTGCCTGGTCAGAACCGGGAAGTGTCCCTGTGAGGAACCGCTGAGGGAGATGTGTGCAGTGATCGCAATGCCAGTCATAGCCAGACGCTAGGACATAAGTCCGAAGCCTGTGAATTGAGAAAGAGCTACTAGTGCTGAGCCGAAGCTATATCCAGCCTCAGCGCCGAATCTACTGAACTCACAGTGGAGGTCCCAGCATCCCAAATACAGAGCCTTCAGCCCTCTGCTGTTTGAGCAGGAGCGGCGCTTGCATTTGTCCGCGCTCTTGCAGGCCCCAAGACTCGCGGCCACCCAGGCAGGGGAGAGCCTTCAGTGAGGCCAAGGATTGAGAGGGGCAGGGAATCTAGGCGGCCCGCAGGAATAGAATCATTAAAGGAATCAGGGTAGACCGGCCTTCTGGGATCCGAAACCCCAAGGAGTACACGATAAGGTACATAGTTTTCTCCAAGACAGTAGCCGAGAGACTGGAAATGCAGCCACATTAGGCAGAAAAAAAGAAAAAACAAACAAAAATAAACAAAAAAGCCCGGGGCAATGGACAAAGCACCCTCAGACTTCTAAAAGGTCAAGAAGAATTGTGAACTCAAAGGGCCCCATGACTTTTGCCTCTGGGTCCAGACTCTCCAGTCCCCAGACTCCCCACCCATCAGACTCCAAAAAGAGGCCCTACACTCAGCCTAGGGTCGCCTCTGCCGGGGAACCTGCCACCTGAGTAAACCAGAGCCGGCAAATCGACCAGCTAAATTTTCGGCCTCAGCCACCAGAAAGAAAAGCCTGGTGTGGAGACCAATGATGTTCAACCCACTGAGTGCCCTCCATAAGTCTTCAGCCACTGTTGATTTCTGAACCCGGTTCCCTCAACCAACCGGTAGGCAGAAATAAGTCCCGCAGACGAATGGGGAGGGAGAGAGAGGAGGGGAGACGGGGGAAAGAGTTTTCTTTTTCTTTATTTTCATCTTGGACTATGCTGGCTGTGACCACAGTCCACAATAATGCTCAGTTGCAAGTGATGCTATTTATGAGCAAAAAGAAACTTGCAGGTCAAATATCTGAGCCCTAGGAGGTGGTCACCAACCCAGTCACTGTAAACACAGTTTGGGGCTAGATAAGAAGTAGTAGGGAGAAGGCTGCCTATTTGAAGAACCATTTAGGCTTTGCAGAAGGCAAGCAGCACAGAAAAGAAAGAGGTTAGGCACTGGGGGTATTCGGGACAGGGTTTGGGCTTCAGCCTAGCCCCCACTTGCCTTGTGAAACTATTATCTAGACAAGCCCCGTGAATAAATAAGGAAGGGTTGCTTATTATGCTACTATTAATTTCCCCCCTAGGAGCTAATTAAATTGCTTCCTGAAACCTGGGTCTGAAGATAACCAGAAGACGCTTAACCCTGGAGGGGTTGGAAATCATGCGTGAACCCAGAACAGTTTTACAATACATTTCCGAAATTTCTGGGGTTTATGTGGGGCCCGGTACCCTCACCCCAGTTCCGCCCAGAGCCTGGGCCTAAAGCCTCCCGAGTCTCCCACATACAGAGGCCTCCGACTCGGCCAGCCTTCCATTTAGTCTTCAAATGAAGTTGTTTATTAGACTTTTGCTTTGACATTATATTCAGATACAGTCAGAACCGCGGACGGGCCTTTTTAATAAAAGTAGTCATCTCTGAGTACTGCAAAATTAAAGCATTTTTATATCTCTTAAAGACCGGAAACCAAATCAGAACAGCTGATTGAGAGAGGAGTGGACAGTTGGTGATTCCAGAGAGGGTGCTATAAAATGTCACCGGATCCAGTTCCGAAAATCCAGAAGATGGTTGGCAGCGACAGCATTGGCCCCCGGGGTGGTTTCGTATTTAAACTAATCTTCCCTTTTTGGTGCTGCGCCTCCTTTCTCAAACCGCACTTCAGCCACTGGTCTGGGCATGAGCTGTCACCAGAAGGATCGGCCAATTTTTAAGTCTTGAGTAAGAGCAGCGAGGAAGCAGAAAGCGAGGCAGGCGCAGAGACGCAGGGCATCTTAAATTTTAAGTATGTTGAACAGGCCCGTTTGGTCGGGCTAGTACTTTCTGGCCCAGTCTTCAGTTAAGCGCGCTAAAGATAGCTAAGCGTCTGAACCGCTTTCTCCTCCTGACCCCACCTCCAGCCTAGGAGGGTTCGAGGGTTGCACTGAAAAACCCTGTTTCTTTCTGTTTCAGAAAAATAAAAGTCCCACTTAAACTTTATTGTATTAGAACCAAATTAAATTCTCGATATTCGCACATATATTACAGAGTAAGAGAGTAAAAGGTCAATAATACTTCCTGGCATTTAGTTGGGACACATTCGACAAGAGCAAACCAAGGACCAAAACATTGAGCAGCCTTAATAGTTCACAATCACTTAGAATATTACATAGAAATACAAAGATGCTCTATTCTGCCAGTTTTCACTGGGAATAGTTCTTCACGAAGAAATTATTCTCCCCCCTCCCCCTTTGTTTTTTTTTTAAACTGTCAGTCATTCAACAACAGCAAGGCAGTCTTTTCTCCTTCACCTGGCATCTGTGTATTTAAAAAACAAAACAAAACAAAAGCCTTCTAGTAGTTAATTCTTCGGTGGAGTTTAAGATGAACAGTGCTTCTCAAATGAAAACTCCATCACCAACAACAACCAAAAAGCAAAAGAAAAAAGTTGCCAAGAACAACGTTAGAGGGACACTGAGTGGGTGCGGGAAGTGGAAACGGATATTGTAGCTTACACTGTTGAAATACAACCTTTCTTTTAGCTAAATCTGGGGTCGGGATAATGGAGTAGGGAAGAGTATGTTGCAATTGGAGATTTTAAAAAATCAATTACAAGGCAGCTTCTTTCTTGACTACAGACTACCAAAATGGGGAGAGGAATGGTATTCTTCAAAACAGATGTACACAGATCTAAGTGGGGCTTAGTTTCTCTTCTATAAGTGAACTTTAAAAGTTTGCTGTCCAGAATTCTTTATACCTGGCTACAACTTGGGACTTGGCAGGAAATACTCCAAACTTGTCGATTTCTTTTTCTCTACATCTCCTTCTCCCTCTTTCTTTCTCCCTCCCCCTTCTCTCTGTTCTCCCTCTCCCACTCCCTCCGCTTAGCTCCAGCGATGAGTTAGTTCCTTAGAGAGGGAATACGAGAAATCCAGAGAATGTCGAGTATTTCCAGCCCCCCATCAAGTTCCCTCGCTCCAATTTGAGGTACGCTCGATCCCCCTTCTCCATTTGTATTAGGACACCGTTGCTGGCTGCCTCTCGGGTCACATCCTGGTCGCCCGCGAAAGCTGAAATCACAGGCCACCCGTTTAACATCAGGCTCACCTGGAGACAAGAAAAAAAGAGAAGCTAGAGTCAGCTGAGCAGACAGAGCATGTAGCCCAAGCAACCAACTGGGACAAGGAGAAATATTCATAAAGGCGAGGAGACAAGAAGAGAGGGGTGGTCGCACTTCAGTTTAACACTGTTCTTAGGGGAGGAGGAAGAAGAGGCAAGGGGAGGGGGGCGCAGAGGTGGGAGGACGTCCGGACAATGTGATTGCGGCTAGAAACACGGGATGATGAGCCTTTACTGGGTGTCTGAGGCTGTATGCTAAAGGAGAAAGCAAATCTGAACGTTTGCCGAAGCTTTTTAATAAGTGGTTCTTAGCACGGAGAAGATTCTATTAGCCACCAGATAGATCTGAAAGGGCAGTTCACTGAGCCTGGCCCAGGAATCGCAGAGTAACAGGCCCGGGGATAAAGCAGTTCAGACTTAGTGTCCCTAATATCAGCACCACTGAAAACGCTCTGTTCAGCAGTCTCTAGAGCTGGCTGCTTCTTTCTAGAGGGCGGGTCATATTGTAGCTTCCTAACTCTACAATCTTCCACCCGTGACCCTAGAACTCTCGGACTCCCGGTATCCTTGAGCCAGAGAGCAGCTCCCGGATGCTTAAAAATATTTCTTTTGGACTATGCTCCTCTCCTCATCTCCAAACCCAAAAACTCAATCCTCGCATTAGGCACATAGGTGCTAGCCGTGTACTGGGTTCTCGTCTTCCATGGACAGGTAGATACCCCCCTTTGCCCAGTACTGGCGTTTCCACCTCCTGGGTTTTCCCCATGAAGATCAAAAATCCTCATTAGCTTGGGACAACTAGAGACAGTCAGGCAGGCGACAACGGAAGCCACCCAGCCCCGCAGCACCCCAGTTTAAGATTCCTGACTCAAGCAGCTAGCTTAAAAGAATCTGGAAAATAAGTCTCGGAGGCTGCTAGCCCCGATCCTGTCCGTGGTGCTGAACTCGCGTTCAGCAATCAACCTCCACTTAGCCCTAGGAGTCAAAGCGTAGGGCAACTAGCGAAGAGATAACTGTTGAGCTTGAGGATGCGGGCTGGATGGGGAAGCTGCCCCTGAAACGGGACACAGGAGGCAGCAAAGGGCACGGAAGCGGGGAGCTACCTTAACCTTGAACCTGAGAAGCCCCCGAGCCCTCCTGGCTTCCTACGCAACTGTCCAAGAAGATGGAAATGCGCCCAACCCCTCCATCTAACCACTGCGGCCCCACCATAGAGTCCTCCTCGCTCCCACCCAGCTCTAGAGAGCCCACTCCCAAGGGTACCCAAGACTGACCTGGATGGTCTGTCTGTTGTAGACTTTCACCACGTGGAAGTTAAAACTGTAAATCCCTTTCCGTGGGGAGATAAAAGTGCTTCGCTCCGGGTCGAAGTTATTCCCGATGTTCACTAGTACCTACAAAAGGACAGGGATGGGAGTGGGAAGAGAAAGACGTCAGGCTCCAGAAAGCTGCAGGACAGGGACCCCACAGCAGGATTCCCTCCTACCCGCGTTCCCTAGACCCGCTAGAGCTACTACAGAGCAGGAACCACTCACCTGGTCAAAGTAAATGATCATCGTACGGTTGCTCATTTCTGACGGCTCGTGATTAGTGCTCCGAATGGCGGAGAAAGCCACCTTGGCGCTGCCAGAGCGCACGGAAATTCCCAGCGCCGTGCCCGTGGGATCGGACGTGGGGTTGGAATCGCAAACCACCAGGCACTTGCCCTCCAGCACGATGGGCTCCGTCTCATTCTGCCCACGAGCCGGCCCAGCCAACCAAGCTGCACCGAGCAGCAGAAGCTCCAGGGCGCCCATCATCTCTCCGGAGCCCTCCCCCCCCCCCCCCCCCGGGGCTGTCTGTCCGCGCCCCCCCGCCCCCCCTCCCGCGCTGGGGCTGCTTGTTCTCCTCCCCTTCACTCTGCTTCGCTTGTAGCTTTGCGTCCGCAGCTCTCCTCCCGGGGCTCTGCTTTGCAAACTGCCTCTCACTCCTTTTGCAACCTGCCCAAACTCGCCCCTCGCCCCTGGGGGCCCTCAGGAGCGCCCTGCAAGCGGTCGGGGCTGCGCGGCAGTCCTTGGATGCATAGCCGTCGCCGCCGCCTGGGTAGCTCTCGCCCGGCTCCAGCTCCCGCTCCCGCCGCTGCCGCCGATCTGAATTATTGATGCAGCCGGCGCTGCAGCCGGAGCCCGGGCGGAGCTGAGCGCGCGCTGAGCACAAAGGCGCGGACCGCTGATCTCAAGCCCCGCCCCCTTGGCCCCTCCTCTCCCTCTTCTCCTCCCCCCGGAACCCCAGCCCTCTTCGTCTTGCTCCGCCCAGCCCCAGACCGAGGCCCCTCCCCTCAGCCAATCTCACAGCGCCTCGCTTCCGCCCCAACCAATGACCGAGCGGTCCGCGCACAGCCACCTGACCAAGGGAGCTGTGGTTATTAGGGGCGCCGAGGCGGGTGGCGCGCGGCATCCTTGCTAGAGCTCGGGTCCCGGAACCGGCCAAGGGAGTGAAGGAAAAGAGAAAGGGAGGGCTTGGGGGGAAGCCTGGATGAGGGAGCACGCGACTACCTGCCAGCCAGCCCTAACTATATCAACCGTCTCCAATTGCCGGTCCTTTTCATCTTGGGCTGTGGGCTGAGTGGATGACCACTGCTGCCCTCCTCCTCTGCCCCATCCCTCTCTTCCTTTCCTCGCTCAGCCCCCGCCCACCGCTCTCGCCCGGCTTACAGGTAGGGGGGCGGCGCAGGCTTCACCTCAGCTGGGAGGTGGGAGATGGACGGGCTCCTGTTAGATTGGCTTAGCAAAATAAGCCTCTGGGAGCACGCCAAGGCGTACAGGGGACTTGGTAGGGGGCTGCTAGGTTGGTGTTGATTACAAGTGGGAGGGATAGTGGCAGGGAGTGTACGCCGAGGCGTACGGGGACGGGGCGTGCCGGCGCCTGCGCAGAAGGCTTCGAGGGGGCGGAGCCCTCCTCTTGGCCTTCCCCCAAGGGAGGGCACGTGCTCCCGGGGCTGAGGGGTGGAGGGTGGAGTCTGGTTGGAAGCTCCTCCTAGTCTGGGAGACCTGCGGTGCTTGGCTTCAGAAGAGAAGTTGCCCAGCTTTCCGCATAAAGGACAGTCAAGGTTATTGAGCTCCGCCAGCGTGTTAGTTCCCTTATTGTAGATTTCGAGATAAAAAAGTCACAGCCTCTTCCAAGACTCCTTCCTGCGCTGTCTGCGCTATTTAGCACCCAAAACTATACTGTAGACCCAGCCAACGCCAAGGTCTCTTTGAAGACAGCAGCCTCCCCGCGTCCCACCCCCGGCACCCCCGACTTGGAGCAACTCAGGATCTCTTTGCTGTGCCGTCCCCCAACACACACCCCTTCTTATATGCCCCAGGCGTGGCAGTTCTATCCCCAACCAAATAACCCTTCTTATCCCAGTGTGTTGCTGAAAAACATTTAGAAGCAAAGGACGGAGCTAAATCTTAATTCAGTCGTCAGCACCTAATGTAGTGCCAGCCTCGTGTGGAAAGCCTGTATGTTACAGTTCTTGTGAATCTCAGGGCCTCTATTAGTGCAAGTGATTGAGGGGAAAGGATTCAGTTTCTAAAATGATATTTTCAAACAATGTAATGTCTGCAATATCTTAGGGATATTTGGATCACCATAAGTTGTAGTTTATTAGTTCACGGGATGTGAGGGACCTTAATCCCTCACTCCCCAATCCATTCTTGATGTTTGAATGCTATCACCTGGAAGACTCACTAGCTTTAATGGAATTCGTTTCTATAGCACCCTGAGCAGTATTGCTCTTTCTTTTTCAGACCCCTATCCTTTGTTCTCCTGGAATTTGGGCACAAAGGATTATTTTTTTTTTTTTTGGTCTCTGTACCTTCCTTCCCAATTCCAAACTAGCATGATGATAAACATATAATTAATTAGGAAAAGGAAATTAGATATCCATCATAAATGTGTGGAAAATGCATATCTGGTTAAACATATATGCCTGTTAGAAACCAAAATTTCTTAAAGCTGGTCACAGAATATTTTTACCAGCTATTGCACATCTTTATTTAATCTTATAGCACACAGGTTTGGGAAACCTGAACTTTCAAGTATATTCAGAGTAATGTGGTTTTGGCAACACTAAAAATTGGAGATTTATTGGTTAACTGTGGACCAGTAGAGAAGATTGGGCCATTATATTCTTTATCAGTTTCCTGCCATTGTACAAAAAATTGCCTTGAGCTGTTGTTAAGGCAAGAAGCCAAGGATGTTTAAGCAAATTTCCTCCTAAATTCTTAGTAGAGGATGTGCCCTTTCCATCTCTCTTTTCCCCTCTCTCTTACACACACACACACTCACACACACTCACACATGAACTCAAGCATGCACACACATTTATTTGTTATCATGAATACAGAAAAACAATTTCTCCAAACCTGACCCTTTATAAAGTCCTATACCTATTCCTGTGCTTCATCCTATAGTGGAGGTGAGCATAGGTTCCCAAAGACTCTATCATCATAGTGTAAGCCCTGGCCAGTTTCTGTGAAAAAGTTTTGAACGTAGATCCAGTGAAGGATGTTATGTGTATCCTAAAACCAGAACACTTAAGTTCACATAGGCATATCAGCAAAGGATGGCTACCAGGAGGTGGAATTTTTTTTTTTTGTTATAGCAGTGATTCGCTACAGTGAATTTTAGAAATTATTTTAACAACTATTTTGATATAGACATGAAGATGACTGATTAAAATGCTTTTCATTTCATATTACTTTCATAATATGACAATACTGCTACTGAAATTCAACTGCTTTTGGGAGTTAGAGAATTGAATCTGAAAGAATGGATATTTTGATGTAGAATATGAAACAAACCTATCCTTTCATTAAACTTCAATGGGATCTTTGAGGCTCTCAATGCACCAAACCGGATTCCATTTCCTTTGCTCTTGGTTCAAAAACCCTTACAAGTACAGATTCCTGGTATCAGTTCATTTTCTTCCAGAAAATTGAAAGGAGACAATTCTGTCCTATAGTAACAAATTTAGGATTTCAGGGATCTAAGTTCATTTAAAACATAATGTTGGGCTCATTCTATGAATGAGTCGTGAGAGAGAAGCTACACAAAAGATGGGATGAGATTATAATTTCTTTTTAGAGGGCACCTTTATCCCCAGTACTGGTTTTTTAGTAGCCATTGTTCATTTGTGTTGAAGGCAGTGTGATGTAGAGCCAAATTAAGTTCTGGATTTACAATCAGGAGACCTGATTCTGGCTCAGTCACTTACTAGGTATGTGGCTTGGCAAGTCACTTAACTTCCCTGGTTTTCGGCTTCCTTAACTAAAAAGTAGGGGTAACAGTATGCTACTTTGTAAATATTATAATTCCATATAAATGTAGGTTCTTATACTTTAAATTCTACCTTTATGCTGTTTATTTTAGGTAAATATTGCCATTGTAAAATGATTTTATAAAACAAAAAGAAGAATTTTTAAAACTGTCTCTTTTAAAACAGACTACATTCATGGTAAATTCTGGTTCCCTATTAAAGAAAATGTTTAAAAGCTTATAGTACTCAATTTGTCCCTTAAAATAAACTTCTATTGCTATATTTTTATATCAACTAAATTTTCCATTGAATCCCCCCTGAACCCTTCCAGAAAGCCATTTTTATAACAAAGAATAAAAGGGAGAGGGGGGAAGAGGAATACAGTTCATCAAAACTTACCAACATGTCAAAAAGTCTGACATTATATAGTGTTCCACGCCTATGGTTCCCTATTTCTATAACCAAACTTTTTAATGATGCTAAAATTGAATCTTATCATTTTTGTTAAAGAAAAAAGGCCTTTTTTTTTAAAAAAAATATTATTCATTCAGACATTTTTTTCTTAGCTGTGTTCAGAAAAGAATATAGATCTTCCAAATTAAAAGACTGGTACTATTTTGAATATGTTGTCTTGAATCTCCTTAATGGGACTTTCATCTGAAGCCGTTACTCAAATAGATGACATTCAAGTAAAAGACAAAATGTCTTGTTGACAATAGTTTGCTCTACATGCAGAATTTTTTATTATCAGAAGTTTAAAGAAAAGGTTCCCTTTCTCTCCTGTGTAGTTTAGGTTGGTATATTGATTATTAAAAATGGGATTGCAGATCCCTTTGCTGCTTAGTGTATCTTTCATTAGCCTTTTATTTGAGTGTTCCAACTAACATTTTCTTTTTTTAATAGAGAAGAAAAACTATTTGTGTTAGGTGTGCAGCCTAAAAGGTTGAGCTCACAAGTAGACTTGACACTTCCCAAATAAATGGTGACAGTGGTTATGATCTGTGGGGAGACTAACATTTGAGGAAAAAGGTATCCCAAGAAACATCATTTTTCTTATTATGAATAAACTGAATATTTTTTAATGAATTGTCACTCTTTGTTTTCAAATTAGTGCGGTGGTTAACAGGAAATTCTATGAATGCAACAAAATTACTAGAGAAAAGCTGAGTCCTCATAAATCAAAATTAACTGTAACATATGAACAGTTTAATAAGTGTGGAGAAAAAATATCATAGCTTTTAATAAATTGTGTCAAGTGTCATTGTCCCTTATTTAGATCAGCATGTAATATTAGAATATTTGGAAGCTACTTTTAAGTAATTGTACTTACTAAACCTTTGTCTTGGATGTAATAATAGGAGGGAAAGTCTAGTGGAAGTTAAATTTTAACCTATAATACTGCTTATCCAAGGATATGTTAGTATTTTGAGAAAATGACTGGTAATTGTTCTAATTCAAAATACTAAAGTAAGTTCAAACAGTGAAAACATTACTAACATTCACCCTAAAGAAATG